TACAGCTCAGTACTTGTTCCAGAGAAATCTGCTCATGTCCCCCGATACTCACCAACCTCAGGATGTCCTTTACCTACTCAGCCTTTGCATTACTCTCTCTTGTCCATTTTTCCTGCTACAGATCAAATGCTGTGAAGCCCGATCTTGCCCCTGCTCCCCTCTCCACCACAGCACTCCTCATCATGTCCTTTCTCTTCTAAATTGTTGGAGTCTTAATATCCTTCCTCTCCCAGTTACCAACTAAGTGATCCTAAGTAACAACTTAACAGCCCCATGCCTCTGTTTTCTCATCTAAAAAATGGGTGAAAACAGAGAAACAAAGTAACTGTTTCTATCAGTATCAAATGGGATAATTTGTATAAAACCTTGAAAGAGCCTGAACATTAATAAATGCTAAATATTCATAATCATTCTTATTCCCACACATTTGAGCACTTAATCAAAATGCTACCTTTTATTTTAAAATCTCGAGTGTGTTTGTTTTCTGTTTCCTCTGCCTGCTCATGCAGTGTCTAGCATAGTATCATGCTTACTAATTAGACAGCTCAATACGTAGTTGATTGCACTTCATAAAGAAAGAGGGAAAGATCCTGGATAAAGGTGTCCAAATAGGTGAAGTATTTTATCAACGAATTATATTTACCTTGTATTTTTGAAATTCCAATGAAGAAAGCTCAGTGCTTAAAATTCTGTGCTTCTGCCAATAAATTCAGCTTAGATTTCTACTTATTCTCAGATACTGTCTAATTTCAAGGGAAAAGGCTTCAGATGTGTCACAGTCTCGGTGATTTTTCTATTCCCCAAAGAGCATTTTATCATTATTGGCTAGAAAACAAGTGAAATACTGCCTGTCTTCTGTTTGATTTTGCCTAAATGGTAATTCACAGGTCCACTGGACTGTTGCCCAGACAATAGAAAATAAAATAAAGCAAAGTGATACTAATTTCTATCTTATAGGAACGTAAGTAAATTGGCAGGTGAAATTAATAAACACTGGTCGAAATGGAACAGGCTCCACTAGCACACATTTATTGCACTGAACAAGGGGCGTGCTGTTGGCTTACCCTCTCCTATAGAATTCCAACAAGTTAAATTTCTCCAACTGGCAAGTTATCAGTGTTGATGTAATGCAGCCTGTCCCTGGACAGCTGAGCTCAGCAGCTCTCGTTCCATTTTCCTTTCCAAAGGATAGCTAAAGAAACATTCTTTGGACAAGTGTAATATGTTTGCTACATTTCAAGAAATTTCGTTCACATTTTCCTCTATAGCTCTGTTTATTGTTCCATGGTTTCTGTAGATTTGATTTATTTGGGGCCAGGTGCCAAATATAGTAAAAAGAACAATGTTCAGACTAGCCCAGGGTAAGCTAAAGGAGGTTTCTGGATCCAATGTTCTAGAAAAGAAATGTTCACCTTATGGGTGTACGACCTTTAGCCCACCATTCAGGCAGGATTTGATTGACTGACTGATATTCAGGATGGGAGGGTTTCTCCTTCCTCTCCTTGACTTGTAAATAGATAATGTATTCAATTGATACACAGGGTTGTTCTTTGACAAGTCCTTTTTAAAAAAAGAAATGAGACCTTATATACATAACTCTGTAACTTTATTTTCCTGGCAACATATGAAGGACATTTCTCTATGTTAATAGCTAAAATTTAGCTCATTCTTTTTAATGTTAGCAAAATATTCTATAGCATGGGTATGTTACAATTTTCAACCAGCCCATTGATGGATAATCGGGTTGTTTTCAGGTTAATTTTCCTGTAACAAAATGGAAAATTAATATTTTTTGTACATATGTATCCACATATAAGTACTTTTGGTTCTGTAGGGTAGATTGCAAAGTATAAGATAAATGGGTAAATATATATATATATATATATATTAATATAGATCTCCATGTAGATCTATATTAACATTTCCCTATATAGAAGAATAGGTATTGCCATAATATTTACTTAATTTTTTTTATTCCATCAGCCATGATTTTCTGATGGAAACTTTTTTAACACTCAGAAAAAAAAACCAAAAGTTATGCCTAGAAAACTTCAGCCCAGTAATTANCAAATGGGTAAATATATATATATATATATAAATATAGATCTCCATGTAGATCTATATTAACATTTTCCTATATAGAAGAATAGGTATTGCCATAATATTTACTTAATTTTTTTTATTCCATCAGCCATGATTTTCTGATGGAAACTTTTTTAACACTCAGAAAAAAAACCCCAAAAGTTATGCCTAGAAAACTTCAGCCCAGTAATTAAATATGTCACAAAACAAACCCCTTTTAATTATTACCATGTTACATCAGGGACAATTTTTGATATATTTTATCATTCCGTCTCCTGATTTCTTTTCTCAGATTTATGATGGAATAGCCTGAACACTTTGTCCACCACAAAAATGACCTTATATGCAGATTTAGTTGTAGTATCAGTAGAACAAAGCATTACTAAGTCACGTTTCTATATGGACCATTTACAAACACTCATTTGTCCCTGAAATTTTATAATAAACCAAATCTATCAATTTTTTCTTATTTTGAAATATTAGTCTAGATATTGAGCCAGCAAGATTTTTTGAATTACTGCTATAATATACAATATACATCATGGGCCTATTCTAAAATAAAGGTGAGAATTTTTTTTTCTACTTTTTTGCTCTGAACCAATGGTTTATTGACCAGTCCCTCAAATAAAGATGTACAGACAGAAAATGTGTCATATTGACACAAAATGCTTTTTAATAAGAAGAAAACAAGAGAAACCCTAGAATCTTTTTTTAGTCATTGATCACCAACATGTTACTTAATTTAATTCATAACAACTTATGAGATAAGTATTTATAGATGAGAAAACTGAGGCTCAGAGAGGTTAAGTAACTTGCTTGATGCCTCACAGCAAGCAAGTAGGAAATCCCAGATTTTACTCCATTATCTGTCTGAATATGTCCTCAGTTCCTTATTTAACTTGACATATTGACCGTCACCTATTTTTGCCTCAACTTTTTTTTCCCTCTCTTGGTTGTAAGTTACATGTTAGTCTGAATCAGCCATCCATGATGATATAGACATGAAGGTAAAGTTCCTTTGGATATAGTATTTCTATACAACTGGAGGGGAATTTTGATTTAATGTGAACTAAGGACTCTGGTCTACTCTGGGAGGGGGGGATATTTCAGGGCCTGCTAAACTAATCCCTCTTCTGAGGTTGACATTTCTCCCAGAGCTCTGATGGTTGATGGTAGAACATTTTTCGGCCTCAGACTGCATCTTCCTATAACTGAAGATATTTTCTGCACTAGCATATTAGAGCTACTCAGTAAAACTAAATCAATTTAGTTTTCTCCCCTTTTGTTTCTTTAACACTAATACCGTTGAGAAGCTAACACCATTTTTCTTTGAGATATCCAAAAGTCACACTGGAAAGTACCTTAACTATCNCACATGACCTGCTTGGTGGGTGCACTTTTCTCCCCTTTTGTTTCTTTAACACTAATACCGTCGAGAAGCTAACACCATTTTTCTTTGAGATATCCAAAAGTCACACTGGAAAGTACCTTAACTATCTCCTGCTTATAAACTGCTCATNAGTTTTCTCCCCTTTTGTTTCTTTAACACTAATACCGTTGAGAAGCTAACACCATTTTTCTTTGAGATATCCAAAAGTCACACTGGAAAGTACCTTAACTATCTCCTGCTTATAAACTGCTCATAGGGTGAGGGGGCAGTAACATTCCAATCCTTGTATTAAATTAAGATTCTACTTGAATATTTTTTTCCATTGGTAATTTTAAAACATTTTCAACACTGAAAAATTTAAGCAAGTTCTGCATCATTTTAAGAGACAAAACATTCACACACACACCCGCACTATCACGAAATACAGTCTTTTGTAGTTTGATATGTAGAATTGTAGGGAGGGTTTTTATTTTCTCTCTTAATACGGTAGCTAACTATAATTCCATGCTCTGTGTAATTGAAATGGCTAATACTCTTTTTTTTCTTTCTCATAGAATTAGGTAATTTTAAAAGTATTGATATATATGAAAACACAGCCTCACTATTTTTCAAAANCTTTTTTTTCTTTCTCATAGAATTAGGTAGTTTTAAAAGTATTGATATATATGAAAACACAGCCTCACTATTTTTCAAAACTAATGCAGGAAGAGGCCAACCTTGGAGAAGTTTGGGGATGGAAATCTACTGGGAATGGAGGGATGGAGGTGGAGGTTCTTTGTAAATGGCAAGAGAATCTTTTCCTCATTTCTTCTATTGCCATTCAAGTCTTTGGGGGAGGAAATGAAGCATCGTGCTGAGCCTGTAATTCTTGCACTTTGAGGTTAAGTCTGAGCCACCCCCTGCTGGTCCCTCTACCAGCCAGGCAACCTGTCTTGGGCAAGATGGGCTGACCATTAACCAAGCTCCAAAGCAACCAAGCCCAGACACCTGAAGATGGTGCCATGCCCGGATCCAGGGCTGGAGGAAAGGAAGCGGCTGAAAGCAGGGCTGCGGCGCGGCCAGGTCATCGCTGCCCCATGCACACAAGCCCTTGCCCAAGTCCCCGACGCCCAGCGAAGGGCATTCCCATGCTAGCGTGCGCGCAGAGTAACCCCGCGAGCCCCAAATTCAGGAATCCAGGCACACGACACCCCCTTGCTTCAAGACTCTCCTCTTTGTAGCACTTTCTGCAGCAAAAGCAAGCGCTTCCTTTCCTTTTCCTCATGGTCCAAGTTGCAAACCTGGGACTAGGAGGCGCGTGGCGGAGGCTCGAGCCTTGGCAGCGTTGCCCTGGGACCCTGAGGTCCCCCGACGTGCCCAAGAGATGCGCAGGCATCTCGCGCTCCTTCGAAGCTCCCAGCGAGGACAAAGGGGGTCCGACCCCGAGAGTCGGTGGGCTTCGGTTGGAAGGGCTCTGGGGCTGCCTGCGGCTATCGCAGGGGACAGCGCCGGGGGACCCCGCTCCCTCCCTTCCCCGGGGCGCGCTCACCATTTGTAGCCTCTGCCGCGCTTGAACTTGAGGGTGAGCGCCGTCTCCAGAAAGAGCAGGAGGTTGAGCAGCGCGAGCAGCCAGTACCTCGGCTCCTTCTTGACCTCGGCCACCCGCCAGACCCCAACCAGCGAGTGCAGGAAGAACAGCAGCCGGGTGACCAGGGCGTTGAACAGGACCAGCCCCTCCATGCCCGAGGCGCGCTCTGCCCTCGCCCGGCTCCGCGCCCCG